ATTAGTTTGGATTGGATTGGATATGACTTGGACTGGATTGGATTGTAGTTAATCCGATTGGATTGGATATGATATGACTATCTTCAAATGGACTGCATTAGTTTCCTTTCGAATGAATGGATTGGATTCTCTTCAGCCGGATTGGATTACGATATCTTCAAACGGGTTGCATTGCACTGGATTAGACTAGACAGCATTTTTCAACGAGATTAGACTCGAAAAGATGAATCGGACTTAATATGACAGAATGCATCGGACACATCCAGTGTTGCACGTTGGTCACCGGCGACCTTCAGACTGGTAGATAATAACAGAGAACCAGGTCAACCTGCAGGCACATACAAGTACTTAATGAATAACTTCCCCATTCTAACGGCGAGTATGAGTTCAAATTTCAAAACCATGACCCGCACAGGAAGAACTCCGCATGATAGTACCAGGTTCGTAATACGGCCATCAAGCCATTATTGTCGTTCATCAAGAATCATTCCTTGTTTCTTCATCTTCTCCTTCTCCTTCTCCTTCTTCTTCTTCTCCTCCTCCGTTCCTCTCCTCCTTGTGGGTTCCATCCCGAATCCCCCAGCCCACTTCTCAAGTTCTATCCCTTCATGATGTGCTTCTGTGAAACAGCTCTCTCTCTCTCTCTCTCTCTCTCTCTCTCTCTCTCTCTCTCTCTCTCTCTCTCTCTCTCTCTCTCTCTCCCTTTAGCTGGAGAGTCCTCTTCTTGATGTGCTTCTATGACACATTGGAGAGCCTTCGAATTTGATCTCCAAGCAGTTTATTCCATCTCCTTTTGAGAGCACACTCACTCAAGGACTTTCCTGGATGCATTTGACCGTAATTACGTCCAGCGATCAGTCAAAAAAGTCGTTGTGTGAGTACTCCATGAGTAGAGTCGATAAGCGACGAGTCCTGGTCAATATTCTCCACCCACCCGCTGGAGAATATTTTTCAATAAAAGGTTGTAGAGGTATCCGCAATATCCCCGACTCCCCCGCAAAACCTTTTATTGAAAAATATTGTTCCCCCCCCCAGCTGGCCACAAGAGAAACCTTGACGAGCGAGCGCAGAACGACAGATCGAGGACAAAACACAGGACCAAGAGCGGCGGGGGACAACCGGCGGGGGCGGCGGGGGGCACCAACCTTTTCTTTGTGAACTGTGTCCGAAGTTCGGACACATAGGAGGGGGAAAAAAAACATCAGGCTTCACGAGCCGTTTGCTCCGTTGCTAGGAAGGTGAAGTGGGTTTTTCCTTTCAACATCGAAAGACAGGAAGAGAAGTTGATTCCCGGGTTTTCAGTGACAACACCCTTTTTTCTCAATTATTTGAAGTTCGTTTATCCAGTAATAAAACTGAGAAAAGGCGAAAAAGAATCAGATCGCTCATGCACGTGAGAGCATGATATTCACCGTCAAGGAACAAACCAGGCAGCAGCTTTCGGACACATTTGGATTGGATTGGGATTAAGGCACTGAATGCCCATATAAAGGAAAAAGAATGATCGCAAGAGGCAGAGGGGGCGAGGTCGGGGGTGCGGTTGGGCGGAGAGCCAAGCAAGACAAGGATAGAAGGCAAGAGAGGTTTCATCCTCAGACGAGAGGCGAACGTATGCAAGCAAGACTCAGAGAGATGGGAAAAGGTCCGATGGATAACTTTCTGCTGTTCTCTTTTTTCGGTGCGAAAGAATCACTCTCATGATGCATGGCCCGAATGAATAAATAAATGAATGAATAAATGAATGAATAAATGAATGAATAAATGAATGAATAATTCCTCAATTTATGCGTGTCGTCCTTGCGCAGGGGCCATGCTAATATTCCTTCTCTGTATCGTTCCAAATTTAACGGATGTCCCGAAGGACGAATGGATGATTCGATCAATGAATGAATGAATGAATGAATGAATGAACGTCGTCGCACGACTCGTAAGTATGAACATGCCCTCTTCTCTGTATCGTTCCAATTTTAACGGCTGTCCCGCAGGACGAACGAATGATTCGATCAATGAATGAATGAATGAATGAATGAATGAATGAATGTCGTCGTACGACTCGCGAGTACGAATATGCCCCCTTAGTAAATGTCTCTATGTAACTATGTAATGTAAGTTGTTAACGTGACAACGACTCATGAGTACGAATATGCCCCCTTAGTAAATGTCTCTATGTAACTATGTAATGTAAGTTGTTAACGTGACAATGAACAAATTGATTCGTAATCAACAGAATCCAGAATGGTGGACGGATTGATGAGTCGACAGATCTATATAGATCCATACATTTACATATCCAGATCTATATAGATCTATAGATTTACAGATACATAGATATATACATGGATGAATGGATGGATGGATGGGTGCACGAATGAATGAACAAATGAATGAGTGTATAAATGAACTTGTGACATCTCTCTCCTTCAGGATGCAGAATGAATGAATGACATGAAATGAAATGAACCTGAGAACCTGTGACATCTCCGCCTCAGTATGCACTTCAATGAACAACTTAGCCGGTCCACCAATCTCCCATGTCGACAGCTCACTAAGGAGCTTTCCCTTGGTGAAGTGAGGCACCTTCAGATCCAAGTCGTCCAACGGCTCTTCGACGTCCAAATGAGTTTGCCAGGGGCTCCCCACGTGTGCCGCAGAAGAGATGCGACGACCAGAACCACGAAAACAACAGCGCTCCGACCTGTGCCTAGACGCCAGAGCGGCCAGCTGAGAAGACAATGTCAAACACTCCTCACTCCAAGGTTTATCCATCATCTTCCACCTCATTCTTTTCACCGTGGGCCCCATCACGTCCACCTTGGAGGAGAACCAAAAGCGCCGTCTTCCTTTCCGCGCCCCCCATCTCGAGGCCACGTCAGCGGCTGCACGGACCACCGCCACATCCTCGCTGTTCAAAGGTGGTCCAACCCGTTCCAAATACCTGAGCATACAGGGGCGTGACACATGTAGCACCACGGGGGATTGATGTCCGGAGCGGCACTCCGGTCCCCAGCTGCGTTCCATTCTTGCCAGAGGATCGAAGGAGAATGGGAAACCCGAGTCACGTCGGACAACACGCGCTGAGAGGGCGGATGACATGCGTTCACCGTATCCGGCAAGGAAATGAAGACAACAGGAAGACGGCTGCCGTGGCAGCAGCTGAAGCTCCTTCCGAGCAGATCTCCCCTTCAAGACTTCATTGGCTACGTATGCGGAGTCGGCAGCGCAACAGCAGCTCATCGTTAACCAGCCTGCACGTCGGGGCGTTGGTCTCTCTATGGGTTCCTCTCCCCTCTTCTCTGTTCCGCTCCTCTCCTCCCCTCTCCCCTCTTCTCTCTCCCTCTCCCCTCTTCTCTGTTCCTCTCCTCTCCTCCCCTCCCCTCTCCTTCTTCATGTGTCATATGAAATCAATAGATAAATGGTGTAATTAATGGACAATTAAAGTTGGCTATGGCTGTCTCCAACCCTTGCACCAGATCCATGCCACGTGGTGTGCCAGGGATGGCGATCAATTCTCCCGATGTTTTCTCATTCCGCTCTTAGTTGGCGCAAACACCTGCCGTCGAGAAAACCGTCACAGCCAGCCGCTGCCATACGTAACACACACACACACACACCCGTCACAGCAACCACATCATCATTACTTCGCTATATACAGTAGTAATCACAAGTGGACACGCCGCAGATAAGCTCGCGGCGGAGCGAGTAGGGGGGAAGGCAGCATGTGGCAGGAGTGAGGGGGGGTCAGCTGTATGTTTGTGTGTTTTCGGGGGAACACCTCTTTTGCTCATAGTGTAAAAGAGAGAGAGAGAGAGAGAGAGAGAGAGAGAG